GATTATCCAGGCTTTTGCTTCTTAAAATTATACTGAGGAACACAAACTGAATACTGTTTCCTATGCATTCATCTTAAAAACAAATAAGGGAAGTAAAAATGTGCCTCTAAGCTAATGAGGACCCTGAGACAGAGCCATAGATACATTTTCTCACTTGCCTAATGAGCAAAGTGACAGACAGTGAAACAGTTCACACTTGAGTAATTCTCTAGTCATCAGCAACTGCAGAGGGGCCCCTCCTGCTAGGGTTGTGGAGGGGGGTGGTCGGGAGATGTAATAAATAGAGCCTGGCTCTGCTGGCCAGAATAAGTTATCACAAAGAGAGAGGTCTTAGGGTACACTCCCCAAGGAAATTTAACCAGAAAAAAGAGCCCATTGAAGGCATCTCCAGCCTTACATTCAATTAGAATTAAATTAAAACAATGGAAAAAAGAAATCACCTGCTCCTCATCAGGCCAGCTGCCTGGAGGGGGTGGGGTAGCTAGGAATCTGGAAGGCAATGACCCCTCCCCACTGGGATCTACACACTGTTTTTAATCCATGCTGTCTTCTCTAGACCTCGCTGTCATGGAAGCATCCTTTCCGGGGAAAATGGGGAAAGTGGGCAAAGGTTAAAGGCAGTCAAGGTGGTGAGGAAGCGGGGGTGTGTGTGTGTGTGCACATGCACACATGCGTGCAAGAGATAGAAAGCATCTTTTTATTGACTACTTTTAGCGAGTGTGCATAGGGCAAGCAGATCTTGCAAATTCACCACGTTTCCGGTTTGGTCGTTAGAAGGAAGGGAACTGAAACTTGTTCCTTGACAACTATGTGCCAGGCCCTGTTTGTCCTTATTGCAACCTCATGCTGACACTGGGAGTGGGCTCTGTGCTAGTTCAGTCACTTTAAAGGGGAATGAACTGAGGTCTCAGTCTGCTAAGCTATTTGCTGAAGCTCACATGGCCAGTAAATGGAAGCAGAGATCCAAATTTCAGTTTGCTTGGCTCCAAAGCCCAAAGCCTATGCTCTTTCTACTCAAAATCTCCCAGTATCCCTCACCAGGAGGCTGATAAAGGAGAAGTGCCGAGTGAGACGTTGGCCAGAGAAGTGGGAGCTGAGCTCAAAACATGACGTCTCTTGTCCATTATCACTAGTTTAACCCTGGGCCCTAGCAGGTTGGTGTGATTCAGGACTAAAGCTCAACACTGGGGTTCCCAGGATGCCAAATATACAACATCTGCAATCTTCAGACATTTGTTTTGATATCACTTAATATCACACATACATATGGCTTAAAACCTGTTCTAAATATTTAGCACATTCTGTGTCTTTTTATCTTTAGTGCTTTAATTGCCGCAGTATCTTCAAAATTAGTGGGCCGACTCCAGCACTTAGAAGAGAAGCCTGTTTAATGCGTGCCAGTGCTCCGTCTTCTAGAGGTTCTTTACTTTATTCAAATTACTAATCATTTAGAGCATCACTAAAAGCCTTTTTCCCTTGCTCCCCATGCATGCTTAACCTAATTAACTATAAATGAGGAAAATGCTATCCACATTAAAAGGAAATGTTAACCTATAAATTATCCCACTATTTCTGGTGAGGCTAAGGACTCCTTTAGAAAGCTCAACTGTGGGGCAGAATTTCAGTTTATGTGCATTCCCTGCCCTCCCTCACTAGAATGGGCTGCAGAATCTCCCATTTCTGGTGGATTCCTTTGTCTGTATTTATATTTTCTTAAATTGACTCCCTTTGTGTTTGCTTACATACTCTCAGGAAACTAGAATAATCTATAAAATGCTCCCCAGGAGCCCACTGGGGTGAAAATCTATCAAGTGACAATCTAGATTTGTCCCTCAGTGCAGAAAATTCCTATTCTCATACACTTTTCCCAGACAGATCCCATCATAGGAAGCCAACAGTGTCTTGAGAGCCTCAGATCACAGACCCCAAAGTATTCTCCCTCTGGCTGACCACACCTGACCCGGCCCTGTGATGGCTTCCTTCCGAGCCACTCCATTAGGGGGGTTGACACAAATAGGGCAAGTCTTTTGAAAATTCTTGTCAGAAAGAATACCCATTAACACATTCATCTGAAAGACCAGATTAATTTGTCAAATTATCCTAGATTTGACCTTTGAGAGCTGAGGGCAGGCCTGCGTCAGAACAGAGCATGGAACACGAAATTGGTTAAGGAGCAAGACGAGAGGCTGAGAATGTGGATCATCCTCAGAAAACGCTGTCCAGGGAAGGCCTGAAGCAAATCATGGGCCAAGGGTGGAGGCCAAGTGACGGGGACAGAGAGGCGAAGACAAGGGCAGCAGTGCCCACAACAGGAATTCCTACTCTTCAACTTTGTTCGTAGTGGTCCCTACTTTTAATATATGTAATGTATTAAGACAGACAATTCTGAGGTTGTAGTAACAAGGGAAATGCAACTGGCACAGACAACTCCTGATTCTCTTTTTCATGACCGCCCTATTTGGGTCGGTTGTTCTGGTTGCCAAGTTCATGACAAACCCCAGTTCATTCCTGCAGCCATGCGGGGAACTCTAATCTTGGAAGGTATTGGAAGGCTTCTGCCCTGCAGTCTTGTTGTGGGTGTATGCCTCCAATTCCTACCCTGGGCTCCGTGAGATGGGGAGTAGTGGAGGCTGTGATCAGGTCACTGGGGAATACCCGAGTCCAAGCAGGCTTGACATCCACATGTGCAGTCAATTCTTGATTATCCACACCAATGGTCTGTGACCCAGGCCCAGGTAATCCCAAATAATTGACAATCCAAAAGGAATTTCTCTTTGGTTTTGGAATATGCTTTGCTTTTTCTAGCTGCAGATCCCTGCTCCCACTTACGCTTTCCTTGTTGGATATTAAATATCATTTATGTTCCTTTAGTTGGGCACTTGGTCTGAGCAATGGCTTGAAGTCAGCTTCATATTGAAAATTTGCCTACTCTATAGACAAATGATTCCCTTGCAGGCAGTTGAATTTGACAGTATCATATATTGCATAAAGAATCATCTGTCCAGGCTAGTGTTGTTAATTCATTCATTCATTCACCCGTTTGACACACATGCATTGAGCTCCTACTGTGTTCTAGGACTGCACGATAAATTAGAGCTACGGAGATGAAAGATGGAGCCCTAGCTCTCAGGGGATGTACCTTCTAGTGGGGCTTAATGGAATAGATTTTAGTATTTTCCTCCGGACCTGCACAGACCCACTGCATATTCACTTCTTCCCATTTTCGGCTCCTCATCTAACTCCTTTTGTGTCAGGAGTTTCAATATTTTGGGGAAAGTGCTGTAGATGATTGCTGGGTTGCGCAGTGTTTCCCAGAGATGGGAAGAACCCAGGCCACTTTCATTTTTGAGGGTCCAGATATATTAAAAATAGAAGAGAGGCCAAAACAGGGGTGCAAATGTGTGGTAGATTTTAAATGTTTACATTTAATCAATTAATATTTTGATACTCCAAAATTCTAGTGATCATATAACTGCATTTGGATAAAATGCCAAAGGTCTAAATTCCAAGCCCTTTATGAATGTGAGATGTAGCTCCTCTCTTTCCCATTCCCCACTCATGCTCAACCCCTGCCAAGAAAAGCCCTGACTGTGGGGAAGGAGGTCTAAATGGGACTGAATGGGGAGTCATTTTAATGCTCAAAGGAACCTCTACAGACATGAAGCACAGTTGGTCCATGGCTCTGTGCCTTGTGGTCACAGGGAATAGTTCTCAGCGAGGCAGACACATCTTAAGCTCTTTACTCAAGAGGCATCAAATCAATTTGTTTCTACAAAGTTCTCCCTTTCCCATAGCATTAAAAGGACCCTAGCAGAGTGCCTGGCTAACAGCTACCACTCTGTTAAGCTCATCCCTTCTGAGTATCACCATCTTCTTCACTGCCACCTCCACACACACCAGTATTTATCCTTAGCCCTCTTATTGAAAAGCCCATGGAAGATAAGAAACTTCTGACAATGTGAAAATTGGAGTTAAGGCTCAGAGGTTGCTACTCATCTTATATTTTTGTTTCTGAACATAAAACCATAAAGAGAGCATGCTAAATAAATTTCTGGTGACATTTCACCCACTCAGTTATGATGGGTGCTGTATAATTATTTTTATCTCAATACCCATTGCTTATTAGCAACTTAGCAGGAATTCTCTCCCAGAGAAGATCAGCGTAATGTTTACAAACTTTTGTTTTCAGATAATAGGGATAGAAGGAGGCATTTTCTCTCTGTCTCTTTCCTCCTCCTAAATGTTCAGTGTTTGTTCGTGTTTGAACTCAGAAGTATTAACTCCCACAACCAATACCCTGGGCCCCCTGTGGTCTAGAAACGCAGACTAGTTAAGGCGTGTGAGTTGGGAAAGGACTTGGGCTGCTTTCATGGCTAATTTTGTGTATTTGAAATATCTGTCTAGGAGCCAGAATTATAGCTTCAGCTCTGCCTGTGGCCCTATTAATACACAGCTTAGCCCTTTGCTTCCTGGAAGAATCAGGCATCTTGTTCTTTTTTCAACTTCCTTCAGAGTGTCTCATGCTTCATTGCAAAAGATCTACTCCTCCTTTGCCTTATACTTTAGTCTTTATTTCTGCTCCCAATGCCTAATTTCTTTATTTTTCTAGTTATTTCAGACAGGAGTGATTCACAAGTTAGGCAGACTAGAATCGAAATGCTTGTGGTTGCTAAGAGGGCATTCAGAAGTCAATCCTTTAATACACACATTTCCCACAGGAGAACTTGTGGTTTAGAGGCATTCTCTTGTTGTGTGTGTGTGTGTGTGTGTGTGTCTGTGTGTGGTTAAAGGTTTGTAGGTCGAATAGTCAGAACTGGAGGTTGGAAACCACAGAAAGAACAAGAGGAACGGACTTGTGGTTGTGAAGAAGCAGGTGAGGGGAGAAGGCCTCATTAGTCCCTCTAGTGGGGAGAGATGAAGTTAGCGCAAACTTTTGTGAAGTCAGACTCATTTTACACAGAATGTGATGATGTGCTGTCCATTGAGAGAAAAACTCATGGTTTAAATGAAAGCTAATGTTTTGCAAGCATTTATTGTGGCAGGCACTGCATAAGTGCTTTACATAAATGCATCTCACTCAATCTTTCTCAACATTTCTATGAATTGAACCTGTAAAAATCCCTATTTTACAAAGCCATGAAGTAGAGAAGTTAAGCATTGACCCTGGGTCTGTATGACTCTAGAGTCTGCGGGCTTGACAATCACCATGACACAAAACACATGCTTAGGAGCTATTCTCAGAGCACAGGTCATCCCTGTCTTTGTATTGACTGGGAGAGGGAAACCAGGACTAGTGCTGTAGTCTGTTCCAGGTCCATACTGCTGGGTAACACACTGCTATAAAACTTACCACTTTATAGTATCTCACGATTGTGTGGCTCAGAAATTTAGGCAAGACTCAGCTGGCAATTCCACTTCTGGTAGCTTTGACATAGGTCACTCACTGGTATTCAGCAGGTGGATGGGCTGGTCTAGAGGCTCCAAGACAGCTTCAGCTGCATGTCTGCTGCCTGGCGGGCACAGGTGAAATGTTGGGTTCATTTGAGACTGTGATCAATGTATGGTGGTCTCAGGCTGGTTGAATGTCTTATATGGCTGCTCAGGATCCTAGAAAGAGTATTCCAAGATTCAGAAATGAGAAGCTTGAGTCCTGGGCCCAGAGCTGGCGCAGCCTCACTTCTGTAGTATTCTCAAGCTTACTGAAAGGAGAGTCACTCCGCGCTGTCCCTACTCCCACACTTTCCACATGTGCCCCACCCTGAGGCTCCTGCCCCCACCAGCCCTCTGACACTGCCCTCCTTGAGGGTCACCAAGGATCTCTTCGTCACTAAACTCAAATATCATTTTGTTCCTGTCCATATCTTACACAATTTCTCAGCAACAGCTGACTTTGCCAATCATTTCTTTCTTGCAACTCTGCTTTCTTGGCCGTTCACACTACCTTCTCCTCTGCTTTGTCTTCCCCCAGGGAGATCTGGCAATGTCCAGAGACATTTTCAGTCATCACAACCGGGGTGCTACTGACATCTAGTGGGTAAAGGTCAGTGTTATTGTTAAATATCCAATAAGGTACAGGATGGCCCCCACAACAAAAAAATTATCCGGTCCTAAATGCCAGTAGTGCTGAGGTTGAGAAATCCTGCTCTGGTTTTAAAAAGAGGGTGCTGGAGACAGGATGAATCTTGGCACAAAGGAAACTCACTAATGGCAGAGTTTCTGGCCTCCTTGGGGAGTTATCTCTGAAAAGGGACTCCTTTCTGGTAAACAGCATGGTGTAATGGAAGGGGAAGGGGTTTGTGGTCAATAGATCTAGGTTTAAATCCTAACTTTCCTAAAGTGGAAGTCATAATTTCTATTTTGTGGAGTTGTCTTGATGAACAAATCAGATAACCTATATAAAGTATACAGTAAGTTCATAAGTGGTAGTCCTCCCCCTTAAGTCACATGATATAGCAGATGTCATGATATAGCAAGAGGTGGCTGGCACAGAATAAGAGTTGAATAAATATTTGCAGGATGAAATACGAATAAACTCATTGCCTTACTCCTTTAAGAGGTTGGTTGCCATGAGAGCTCTCGAGCTAGAAATGATTTATTTTTTTTCTGTCCTTTTTGGACCTAAGGTTTAAAGATAAGTTTCACAACTCTGCCTCATAGTCTGGCCCCATCGGTATAATAGCTAGTGAGGTTTTATGAGGCTAGGCCATTGGCTTGGCATGCAATCCTCCAATTAGAGGGCATGTGACTGCCCATAATATAAAACAGGAAATATGGATAGCTTTGTTCTCTTGTGGACACAGCAAAAGTGGCAGAGAAGAATAATAAATTCAGAGACCTATGTGGTATCTCTTGCCCTCAATATTGACACTAATTATGAAAAGAAAAGTTTGTATATTTGGGCATGGGGAGTGGTCTCTTCCCCTTTACCTTTTTGGTGCCTATGAACAAGGCATCAACCTAACTTTCTGCTGAGATTCAAAGACAGAATTACCATGGAGACCACCTCCTTGGGATTTTATATAGTACAAAATCATTGACATTAACATCTCCCTATATCTCCTTGTCTTGTTCTGATTCACCTTCCATATTGTAATCAAGGTAAGCTTTTGGAAATACACACTTTATCATGATACAATCCCCTACTTCCGATTAAATAAATTTCAAAATGTGTCATACAAGCCCCCATGTGATCAGGCCTTTCCATCCTTTGCTTCAGACTTCAACTCACCTCCCTACATCAAAGCCCCTTCATAGAGCTATGTCTCTCTCCTTCATGGTCCTTGGCAAAGCTATACAATGGTTCATTTGTTAGTGTCCTTCTTTGATTAGCATCAGTCTCTCTCTCATAAACTCTTTGCTCCATGACAGCTGGGATTGTGTATCTTTTAGCTTTCATAGTATCCCCAGAGCCTGGCATATCCCCCGAGCCTGGTTCAGTCAAGGCTTCCTAAATAAATGAATATTTAAACAGAATAGATGATATCATTAGTAAACATTACTTTCCTACTTCAGCCAAGGACCTAACCAAAACCCACTTTTTTTTTCTTCTAACTTTTATTTTAGGTTTGGGGGCTACATGGTGCAGGCTTGTTACATAAGTAAACTGCATGCCACTGGGGTTTGGTCTACAAATGATTTCCTCACCCAGCTAGTGAACATAGTACCTTATAGGTTGTTTTTCCATCCTCTCCCTCCTCCCACTCTTCACCCTTAAGTAAACCCCTGTGTCTATTGTAGTTCCCCTCTTTGGGTCCGTGTATATTTAATGTTAAAATCTACGTTTCTCTAAATATGTGACTACCACTTCTACACCAAGGAAGGTGTGAGATATAAACAGTACAAGTTTACTGATGATGATGATAATGATGATGATGGTAATAGCTATGTAATACTAATATACAATTAAATAATAAAATAATTATGTAAAACAGTTAAATCTTCATTAATATTTGTTGAGTGCTTGCCCTGTGCAAGATACTATACTAGGCAATGGGGATAAGCTCTTGAGCAAAATCAGACATGGTATTTTTCATGCATTATCTTATTTAATAGGTCTATTAATTAGGCACAATTATTTTCCCATTTTGTAGATGAGAAATTGTGACATTGGAAGCTTAACTAAATTGCTCATGATCATACAGCCCATAAATTGGTGTGATATAGCAGTTATTTGAACCCAGGAGTGACTCCAAAGTTATTAACCATTACATTGTATAATTTTAGAAGAAAAGAGATTAAGTTAGGCCTAAAAGGTAACATCTGTCGGCAAGTGCCGCAGATACTCATAGATGCACCAGCATCCTCAATGGACTGGGCATTATGACACACCAGACACTGTTTAAGGTGTGGAATATATGTTTTCTCTAATCTTCACAGCGATTCTAGTGGTAGGTATTATTATCCTCATTTTACAGGTGAGTCACCAAAGGCTCAGGTAGGAGAAAGAGGCAGGGAACAGGGCAAAGTCAGGTGAGATGCTTGAAAACTTCCCAGCTCTTGAAGTCTTTACAGTATAACTTTTGAATTATATTTTAGACAGGAAAACTTTCTGAATTCAGACTCAATAAACCCAGAATTTGTAATATTGAGACACTGAATCACAGACTTTTACAACTGAAAAAGACCTGAGAGATGATCTAGTCTAAGCTCTTCATGGGGCTTCTGATTGAGTATAAAACTGGATAAATCTTAGGTAGCTCAAAACTTTTATTTTACTCATATGTTATGATTTATAGGCCAATCACAACTTGCTATTTTGAACAACCTACTCAATTTGAGTGAATTAGTAGCCATTTCAATCAATTTATAACTACGTTTGTATGTAGGAAAAGTATTTTTCATCATAAATATTTCACATTTGTAATATTTACTAATTCAGATAGGAGTTTACAAACAAGGTTCCTCTTAGTGGAAAAATGAGATATGAATGATATTTTATTATCCAAAGAACTCTCAGGACCTGAGGCACACATATTCCAGAGTAGAAAAGCACATTCCCTAAGTAAAATAGAAGTCTTCTCTTTCTCTCTCCCTTCCCCTCCTCACTATTTCTATTTCTTTTATTTCCGTGCCACTGCTGCATTCTATTGTCTCGGACAAGTGAGGCTACATTACATTTTAAAACTTTTGTCCTTTGGTCATCCATAGGACCTAGAATGCTTCCCACTCCCAGGTCATTAAAAAAAAATAACTTGGGTAGAAAAGATTTTGTTATTGGTGAAACTGAAGGCTCACCTGAATTTACTTTAATGGAAAACCCTAACTCCCTAGGGGCAAATGTCTGCAAAGATATCACTGGGAGCTCAGAGGAAAATATTATGTTCTAACCTTTTAAAAATTAATCCAACTATTAAGAGGGATCCCAACTGTATTTCATTCAAGCCATAATCTGAAAGGTATGATGATTAAAAGCAAGACAAATGTAGTGTCATAAGCAAATGTCATGCCATAGATTTACCTACCAACAAGACATTGGCATGGTTCAGGTCAGAGGTTAATTAAAGACATCAAAAGGTCATTCTGTGATTAGGTGAAAGCAGGGTTTTAATAGGGCATCAGTCCGACCCACACTGACAGAAGATTTATGCCAGCCGTGATGACATCGCCACGAATCCTGCTGATAACAAGAGCCTCAATATTGGCCTGAACAGAATGATGAATGGAGCACATATCTCCTCACACTTCTCATTACAAGCTCTTTCACTCCTGGTGGCACTTAGCAGCATTTATTTACTGAGGTTTGAAGGTGTGGGACAGCAGAACAGGATATCTAATACTTTTAAATGTAGACTTGTGATATAAAAATGAAACAAGAGATAAGATTAGGTCTTTGAATAATTGCACAGCTTTTCTTCCAAGATTATATTCACTAGTACTAACATTATACCCCCTCCATGTTCTGCCAGTGTGTGAGCAGTTCAAGAAAATTAATTGTCTGAGGCAGAAGGTCAGAGGGAAAAAATTACTGATAAGCATTAACCATGCTATAAAATAGCACCTCACCACATTTTGCCTTCCACAGCCCTCAGTATGTGAACAAAAGATACTATAAAGAAAAGGATATACACATTTCCCCCGATGCCATATTTAAAGTTGTTAAGTGCTGTTTTTATTTGGATTAGATCAGGTAAAGAATCTAGAAGGCCAAATAAATGAAAAAATAAATAAAAATCAAACAAACAACTTACAATATTCTCAGCTGAAAGCAAATATAAGAGAAACTAAAACCCTGATGAATAACGTTTACTTTTCCACGAAACTCCTTTTCAACATGTTATATATTTATCAAACCACCAGAGTGTAAATTCCATGAATAAGTCCTATCATCTCTCAACCAGTAGACACCATGAAAATTGTAACTACAGAAAATTGTTAGTACTATAAAAGGCTACTTTCTAGAGATCTACATATATCTATTTCTGCAATTTCACAAGAGAAAATAAAATCATAATCTTTTTGCTTGGGCCACGAACAGGGGCCAGGCCAGGATAGGATCACATCACATCTAACCCCAAGCCAATGCTCCCATTAGTTCAGAAACGAAGATGAGTCACTCTGACGGAAGTGATGGAGCTGGTGACCTGCTACAGGACAGCTGTGAGTCTTGT